TTCATATTATCTCAAATCCAATATACCATGAAAGAACCAAACACATTGAGATTGATTGTCACTTTATTCGTGAGAAAATTCAGGAGAACTTGATTTCTACCGGTTATGTGAAAATAAGGAAACAATTAGATGATATATTCACAAAAGTTTTGAATAGAACCCGAATTGAATATTTTCGTAACAAATTGGGCATGATCAATATTTATGCTTCAACTTGAAGAGTGTTAAAATATTACAAAATATATTATGGAATATTCTTATCTAATTATTAGTTGATTTCCTAGCATTAATATAGTGATTTATGTTTTCACATATAGATTCATGTTCTATGTATATATATTTCTAACTTTATGTAATGAAATATAAGTAAATATTCAAAATTTCTTTCTCTAATAGAAGATCAACAAGTTCTCACGTCTTGTATTTTATTAGACCTCTTAATTGATCATCCATAGTCTCTACTTTAGCATCAGTTAAAGCTTCTTGTCAAACCTGTATCATAGAAACAAAAGACAAACACAACAAAAATGTCTTATATTATTATGGTAGTGATTCACGCGAGATAAAATCGGATATAGGGTGTTTAGTACAAATATGAATCCTTTTTTCTTACAAAAATTAAAAAAAAAAAAATCAAAATCACTATACTAGAATAAGAGTTTCGATGGACTCACCAAATGTTCCCAATGGAGCCGAATCCAGATTTGTTATTTGACTAGGTAGACTTCGTTCAACTACCTTGTGTCTATGGGAATAGATTCTTGGATTGAGTTTAATCAATCTATTAGAGTAAATATAAGAGTCAAGACTATCATGCTTATCACTAAAATTAGTACAAATATGAATAGATATGAATATGAAGGATGAATAAGGAAAGTTGCCATTTCAACCAGACTCTCTCTGAAAAGGTATTTGGGTGAGGAAAAATACAGTTCAAATTTTTAAAAGTGATATCTATAGTAATAAAATGTTTCTCAGGGAGAATGGTAATGTTTATAACCTTTTTGGATGGTAGAATATCCACTAAACATATTTGACAGCCCTCGTTTGCCAAAACCTTTTGTGGACAAAACATACACTTCCATAAATCCTAAGAGGAATAATATAAGAACTAATATCCAGCAACAATCCCAAAGTTATTCTCAAACCTAATGTTTTAAGGGCATGTAGCTAACGGGATAGGTGGCCAATAGAACTGCATCTCCATAATAGGATGGTGGCTTGTTCATGCTAAACATAAGTGCAGGGCAACTTCTAGGAAGCGCCAAATTCTTCTTACAGCCATTCCATTTTGAGCACCAGTATGAACATAGGTTATTTGATGGACTATCCCATGTGGATCAATGTACTCACTAAAGGCAACATCTCTATGTTTTATACCACTATCAATCTTAAAATTTTAAATTTTTGCTTCAAACTGTGTAGAAACTATTCTGTGAAATGACTTAAAGCACGAAAAGAAAATCATTTTTAGCATACAGAATATACAAGTCATTCTAGTACAAGATAAACCATTTACAACCAGAAAAAGATACAGATTAAGTAGGTCCCATGCATCATAAAGAATAGTCATAAAAGGAAGAAAAGGTACTAATAAAATAATAAGACATTCTGGTGTGCTTTGCAAACTCTCAGGCATCACAGACCAATGACTCAAGATTTGCAAGTTTAAGACCAGATAAGATAAAGTTTTTCAAGAACAAACAAGGAGAAGACCAGATTGCCAATTTAGTTGGATCACTTGTTACGTATCAAGAGCAAAGACATCTATCATAGCTTGGTTGTTCTGAGAAACCAACGAAAATTTATTCTCGAGCAATACATAGAGGTCATCTTGTAGTCTACGGTATCCAATGGTTTTTCCCTGTTTTATTCTCCAGCTTCGTTGTTAAGATTATCTATAATTGCATTAATAGACAAAAGGTCATTAGGAAAATCAGGGAATGAAGAACGGACAAAAATGTAATGAAAGAAGTCAAGTAATGGAACCTTTATTGATGATAGGATATAAAGATCCATCTGCAATACCGACTTTGTCATTACTTACCATGAAGTATAGGTTTCAAATAATTATGAGGAGCCTGTTGCATGTTCTAAAGCTCCTGAATCCATAACCCCACAAATTGTTTTATTTTTAAGATCAACAAGAAAGGTCATACCTTATTTTAGGAAGCACGAAGTTGAAGCAGTGGCTATATGAGAATCAAACTTAAACAAAAATGTCTTAGGGTTTGTATCACTTTATTAGAAAAACTCCCAACATTTGATGCTTCCCCACGTAATGTGTTTTTGTAGTCTCATACAAGTTTTCTTGTGGTGTTGCCATAGCCTACTTCCATGACCTTGGGTTGGTCGACCATTAAGCTTCCTGCAACAATCTCTTGGATTTCTCGATTTACCACAATAGTCACATGTTAAGTGGCCTTTATCAAAGATATCCGGGTTACTGTGTTTAGGCTGTTCACAGGACAAATCAACAACCAACCTATATTTGTCTACCGCTGATGTATTGGACATTGCACTCCTAGAACTTTCTTTCTGCTGAATATAAGAGGAAGTCACTGTTAGCCAAGGTAAAGGGTCCTTACCAAGAACCTAAACTCAATATTTAAACGTACAAGAAAATCTATACTAAATCCTTTTTTATCAACTTATCGAACTTTGATGCTCCATCAAGACAAGGTCCCTGTAAGTCTTGGTGTAGTATATTGATTCCTATCATAACCATCTTAATTCTGCAAAGTATTCAGCAATTGTTATTTCTTTTTGTCTGGTTGCATGCACCATTTTTTCCAATGCACAAATCAGTGTATCCAATTTGAGGACACGTTTGTTTTTTCTGATTGTATGTCTGATTGATAATTTGAGGGCATGTTTGGCAGGCCGAATTCCAAATCTCAAGTAATAACTACCCTTGGAAAATCAGTGGCCGCATTAAATTAATTAGCCAAGACATAATACGAAAGTTCTCCTATTCTCACCGGTTGAGCGTGGCATCACCATCAGTTGGTCTAGGATTATAACCCCGTAAATGTACCCTTGCAGTCACGAGCTTGGAGAAACAAAAACAAGACATCTGATTCCATCAAACTTTAGCGGACTAATTTGTAAAGAACGATTTTCCCCACCACATTTATCCTCTGCCGTTTCTATTTACCTCTCTCTTCAAACTTCACCAAATCATTAACTCTGTCTCTCTCTTCGAACAAAATCGACAAGTCCACAGCATCATCTCTTTCTCCTCGGACACACAGGGCAGTGGCAAAAACGTAGCAGCGGTGTGTTTCTGCTCGTAAGGAAACTAGTCGCGCTTTCGTGTCCCATTTCTCGTCGCGCTTCTCTTCTGTAGTGGCGTTTCTGCTTCATGTCGTGCTTCTCTGCTCCAGACAAAGTCGTGATCAGTGTGTTTTTCGGCTCCAGACAAAGTCGCAAACTGTGCACGATGTGCTCCTCGGCTCCAAACCGTTCTCTGCACACAACAATTCTCGCTCATGTGGGCACTTCTTGGCGCTTCCCTGCTGAAAAAAACCAATCGCGGTCGTGACGATTCTCTATCACAACCACAGTGGCGCGAAGCCTATGGAGCTTGACTTCATAAAAAAGCAAAGGACTTGGCAAACACTGATCATGACTTTTGATTCCAGGAAGAAGGGAGCACGATATAACGATTCCAAGAAGCAACCATGGGCAGAAGCTCATGGTGCTTGTAATTCATGAACAAGAGAAAAGACGCAAATCAGAGTGAAGAATGAGGTTTTCGGTGTGTAACAAAAACGCTCTTATAGAGTGCTGGGAAACACGACTAATGAACTATATGCCTGGGTCATCAAACACGTATATCTCAACAAAGAGACAGAAAAGGAGAAAAACTAATGGAAATTTATGCATTGATTCCTCAAAGATTCATATACTTATATCTCAATGTTCAAAATTTTACTAAATTGGAGTAGTTAGAATAGGTTAAAAGTCATATCTAATTTTATATTTTCCTTAAAAAGAAAATCTAGTCAAATATGAATCAACTCGATTTAGATAAACTATTATGTTACCCTTTCTTTACCAAGACAATAGAACTAATCTTACAATTTTCTTAGAATCAATATAAGAAATTATAGTTAAAAGAGCAAGGGATTTTAATATACAAACAAAAATTAACTGACTAATAAATTATAATTGATTAATTGAAATCACTTGTAAAACGTGAAATTTTTTCAATGTCAATGAATTACAAGTCCATGAGTACAAGGTAAGTTTCAAATTTAACATACTCATTAAAAAGTACATTTTTAATTTTAATAAGTTATTTCAAGAATCAAGTCACCCACAATAGTACCAGCGGAACATGTAGCATGAAACACTGCAATTGAATTCAGTTTAGACTAGAACAACGTGAAATATATCAAAAATGAAATAGTATGATAATATAGAAGATTTTTTTAAACATAAAGTTTCAGTACTAATGTAAATTGCAATATATGTAGTTCATCAGAGAGAATATGGTAATATAGAAAAGACGAAATAATAAAAAGCAGAGAGCATTTAACTGAAAAAAATTAAATAAGAGCAAACCTGAACATTTATAAATTCAAACACAAATTACATTAGCCGTAACTAAACCAATATAAAAATCCAGATTTATTGAAAAGAATAAACTTGACCCCCTAATTATTTCAAGTTTGCTGAAAATGAAATGACGATTCATGGATTAAAAGAAAAAAACTCGACCTAACCAAATCCCACTACAAAAACTGCTTAAACATCAAACCTTCTCATGAACATGGCCATCTTTACATACCTTTAACAGACATTGGCCACGCAGTTTATATTCAAACTACCATTACTCAATCCAAATCCATATCACAGTTGTTCAATCTTAATACACCTCATAGTTGTTCAATACAAGTCACATCCTCGGACATCCCAACATTATTCATTTCCCTCTTATGAACAAAACAGAGATCAAAAAAGCAAAAAAAAAATCTAATCTAAATTAATCTCGTCAATGAAGATATTAACATTTTCTTCAAAAAAAAGTAGAGAGAGGGTAACTTAC